TTTTTTTTTTTTTTTTCCTTTAAAATCCCGTCTACACTTGACGATCGGCGAACGTTTTATGGATTGAACGAACGAACGGATCGTCAACGTGTTTCGAAAGGCTACGATCTTATTAAATCGTAATGTGCCTTTGTCGCGGTTGTTCGCTGGAAAATTTTACGATTGCTTTGATATCGAATGGTTTTATCGATACGCCACTGCCGGTATAACGAGGCATTCCACTCTCGCGGCGAAAAATGTGTGAATGTTGAGAAAGACGGTAGAAGATGAAATGGACGAGTCGCAGAAGTGTTTCTAAGATGCCGATTCGTATACTTTTGTGATGCGAAGTAAGTTTCGAAATTCTCATCACTTGCACAATTAGAGTATCGATTAATTTATTTGAGTTCACTCGAAATCAAAAAGAAACTCTGAGATTTATCGTATTGTAATATTAATTAATCTCGAGTCGACAGAATTCAAAGAACGCGAATATTTCTGTGACGAAGTCAAAGTTGTTAATCAGTTTCCACTTCTCGCTCCAGTCTCGTTGTTTATGTTCTAATCCGAGATGCTATTTACTAACGACCATAAAATGAAAAGACAGAGGCTCGTTAAACTTTCAATTACGAGTAGAGAGAATAAAACTTCGACTTTTATAAAATTCCTCGGCCGACCGGATGAAAAATCGAATAGCTTCGAGAAAGGATAATACAATAAAAGTACAAGATGAAACTAAGATCCATTCAAGTTGCGAAACCATTGCAATTCTATCAGCTGCTGTTCTATTGCTAGCAAGACTGTGCAATATTAAACAGTCATTGTGTTCCGAGACAGTTTCAAATGTTTTTCAATTAGATTGCGGCTCATTACAGAAGTTGTAAATCAGTCGTCCACTGAACGCGAATATTACCACAAATCAAACGCAATGAAGATTTCTTGCTATCGCTGTTGCTAAAGTATTTATTGTTCAATCTACCGGGTCCGTTATGTCGTAAAAGCTTGCGGATAATCTCTCGTAGCTTTTGCCACAGATAAAAGCTCGCTGATCTCTTACAGCGTATAGATAATCCGCGACAGATGGATTTAACGATTTAATCAGGTCTACCTCGTCGTAAATGTCAAAACACGAAACCTCTCTTACAGACGTTTTAATGTTATGCCTTAATGAATGAATTCACTGCTTCAATCACGTTGGCCTAAACACTGTCTAATTTTGATAATTTGAACTTTTTTCTGCCCAAATTTGATTCAAATTCAATCCAATTTAAATTAAGTCCAAGTTCAAATTTATTTCAACGTGAATTATTTATCTTTTTCACCCCGCTATAAAAATTTCGATATGTTGAAATTTATTAAGTTACTACGTGAATTATTCATGACGTATTTTCAATGTCAGGCTTTCATACAGATGTAAATAGAAACTCTGCTAAATACAGTCCGACTGTGATAACACGAAC